AGAGTGCTAGCCTTGAGCTGAAGAGCTGAGGGACAGTGCCCAGGCCCAGAGTTCAGGCCCCACAACTGGACCCCCAAAAAAGAAAAAAAAAGTGAACTCTATTTCATTTGGGTCAAAAGAAGTTAGTAAAACTACAGAAGATTTATATTTGATAGGTTGTGGGAAATGGGTGAACTCTGAACTATGAAATATTTTCTCTAGGGGCTGGGAAGGTGGCTTAGTAGTAGAGTGCCTGCCTTGCATGCATGAGGCCCTGGGTTCAATTCCTCAGTACCACATAAGCAGAAAAAGCCAGAAGTGGTGCTGTGGATCAAGTGGTAGAATGCTAGCCTTGAGTTGAAGAGCTGAGGGACAGTTCCCCAGGCCTAGAGTTCAAGCCCCATGACCAACCAAAAAAAAAAAACAAACAAACAAACAGAAAAGAAAAGAAATATTTTCTCTAGTTGCCGTGTACTGGTTCTGTCGGGATGATGGAGGACACCTAGTGGAGGAACTGGAATAGGTGGGGAGATGGCAAACAGACAACTCACACACAAGAGGAGTGGATGCTGAGTGCGATTTAATGCAGAGGATAACAAGCTTTTATAGCAAAGGTCTCCATGAGAAAGGGCAAAACTTTACACAATCTTGTTGCAAGGCTTCCTTTTTGGGTGGTCATCAGCTGGTCGCCTGATCTTGTTTTTTGGATGACGAGCTATGATGACAGGCCCTTGTTTTTGGCTTTACCTCTATTTTTAAGAAATACAATTGGTTTCAATGTTTATCACCTATTAACCATTAACCAGAGCACATGGGCAAGGTGCTGGACAGAAAGGCATGAACTCTAGTACTTCATAGTTACTTTTGTTTAGTTTTGTACTTTATACGTTTTAAATCTTTTCTAAGCAATTGTGCTTCTTTGCCATTCTTTGGAGGGTCCCCAATTTGTGGCCAAAAATCATGATATACTTAGTTAAATCTGGCCATATATCAAATTTAAGCTCATAGTGTCTTTTCTGTAACCCTTTCACATAATCATTTACTCTTCTCCATAGAGGCCTTAACTGTCTCATAAGATCTTTCGTGTTTCTTCTTTGTTAGTAAGCACCACGGAGGCCTAGATCTAGCAAGTCTCTCAGTAAATGAAAGAGAGTAATAGGAAGTTCTTTCTCCTAAGTAGTTTCCCTAACGGTTGCCATCCTTATCCTACACACCTGTTAAAGGCTATGGATCTGGGGGAAGTCTCTGGGGTCCTCTAGTAATGGAGGATCCCACCATTTTCCTCTGATAAGCCATTGCCACCTTCCATCTACCAACCTTTTAGGAATCTTATTTAGCTTTTGGTCTAAATATCCTTCTACATCTTTTTTATCTACAGGATATCTATATGAGTCTATTGTAGCTTCTTGTAAATCTCTTACAAACAATTCCTTCTGTTGAAGTGACGTCATGAAACCCCCAATACTTTTATATTTACTTATGACTTGTCTACTAGCCTCCACAAGAGGGGCTTTCAGGGTAGCACTTAACTCTGGTGAGTTAGTCATATTCTCAAGACATTCATCAGATGTTCGAGTCGTCAACACTTTTAAGAAAGAGCCTTGAATAAGGGAACGTTGAGCATGAGTAAGTACAATGAGCAGCAGGAACAGTAAAAGATTAATAGGCACTCCTATACAGCAAAGAAAAGAAAAACAGCCACACATCTTTCCCAGGGGCTTGCCAGCCTTTTCCAGGAGGTAGGCCTCTTTGAAGCCCCATTCTCAGATCTGAAAGCAGGTTTCCCATGCTAAGCAGACTCCACCGGAGTAGGCGTGGCATCTAGTTAAAAGTAACTTCTGCCCTCAGCTTTCACTATTCATTATGAATCACTCATCATTCTTACCATACTGTGTATTGTCCAGATACTCTTAAGGGATTTTCTCAAGAGTTTGGTAATCCCAATCTAATTCTAACCTCTGAAAACGAGAATCCTTTGCCTTCTTTTTAGAGGTATTCCTAGTATTTCTGTTTAGCAAACATAGAGATCCACTTATTCTTGTGCTTTTCTCCCAGGAATTCTTATTGTTTCTGGGTGATAGAGTGGTGACCCTGACATTTTGCATGTGTAAAGGTTGTTCAAGATGAGAATGTCTTAAGGTTTTTGTTTGTTTGCTCTGAGCTGAGTATTACCCTTACTCATGACTCCTGAGCCTGCTGGGGACTTGAGCTGACATCTCAGAGAGCAAAAGAAATAGGTAAACTCAAAAGGAATAATTGGAAAAAAGCTCCTGTGGAGCAAAGCTGTCACGTGGCAGAATGATTCAACTGTTGCAGGGGAACTATTGATTGTAAATCCTTCCTGAGGTTATTAAAAGTCTTGGTTGTTGTTGTTGAACAAGCATTGTTATGATTTAAATTTTCATAGGAAATATCAATTTAATTATATGGATAAAATGATTCCCTTAAAAAATGAGACTGTCAATGCTAAAATAAATTTCAGAATTCTAAAATATAAAAGATATAGAAAATAAAGAAAAATAACAATATTTAATCAGGGTAAGGGCTCTGTAAGCAAAGAAATAGGTAGTGTTTTTGTGTTTTGTCAGTACAAGACAACAGACTGATGACCTAAAAAATTTCAGAGCTCCCAGGGCAGCTATATAATTTGTAGAGCTCAGTTCAAAATGAAAATGTAGACACTTTCAAAAAGCACAAGATGAACAACAATGGAATGTGTTACAATTTAAATTTACAGTGATTTGCAAATTAAAAGAATGTATGACTTATTTGTTCACCTTTTTTATAATTAAAGATTGGTTTTTGTGTGTGTGTCCGGTTGTGGGACTTGAACTCTGGGCCTGGGTGCTGTGCTTCAGCTCTTCAGCTCAAGGCGAGCACTCTACCACTTGAGCCACAGAGCCACTTCCAGTTTTCTGGTGGTTTATTGGAGATAAGAGTCTCAACAGACTTTCCTGCCTGGGCTGGCTTTGAACCGTGATCCTCAGATCTCAGCCTCCTGAGTAGCTAGGATGATGGGCATGAGCCACTGGTGCTGGGCTTATAATTAAAGATTTTAACAGAAAATGATATTCCTGTCTTGGCAAAGTATTGCCTGTGTGAATGTAGATTAGTCCAGTCTTTGGAAGATAGCTTGTCTGTCTGTGTTAAAGACTGTAATATTTGGGGCTGGGAAGGTGGCTCAGTGGTAGAGCGCTTGCCTTGCATGCATGAGGCTGGGTTTGATTCCTCAGCACCACATAAGCAAAAAGAAAAAAAAAAGCCGGAAGTGGCACTGTGGTTCCAGTGGTAGAGGGCTAGCCTTTAGCTGAAGAGCACCCAGGCTCCAGAGTTCGGGCCCCACAACCGACAAAAAAACAAAAACAAAAAAAAAAACTGTAATATTCACATCTGTGCCTGTGAACTTACTTTGATGGAAATATTAAGTTGTTCATGAAAATACTACTTATTATGAAACTTGTATCTTATAAGTACAGTATTAAGTAAAAGTGAAGCTTTTTTTTGTGTGTTTGCAATGTGCCAGACACTATGATTATATAATTTATATAATTAAGTATTGATAAAAATCCTGAAATGGGGGGGGGCTGGGAAGGTGGCTCAGTGGTAGAGTGCTTGCCTTGCATGCATGAGGCCCTGGGTTCGATTCCTCAGCACCCCATAAGCAAAAAGAAAAAAGCCGGGAGTGGTGCTGTGGCTCAAGTGGTAGAGCGCTAGCTTTGAGCTGAAGAGCTGAGGGACAGTGCCCAGGCCCAGAGTTCAGGCCCCACGACTGGACCAAAAAAAAAGAAAAATCCTGAAATGGTTGGGCAGAGAGAAGGAAATGGTTTGTTGGAGGCATGTGGTTGCACGGAGAGCCTGACTAGGAATGACTGTCGGCTTCGTAGTCCTGTGTGTTTCCACTGCCTTACAAAGCAGACCACCACCTGCATTGTAATTTGTGGGGTCACTCCTTGTTAGAAATGCAGATTCCCGCAGATTTGCTCAGTCCAAATCTCAGTGGATGAAGTGTGTGTTTTTTTTCTTTTTTTTGTTCTTCAGTTGACTTTCATATACACTAAAGTTTTTAGAACTAGTATGCTATGCTAGTCTGTAAACATGATTATGCTTTCCTAGCTATTGGCCAGAAAGATGGCCAGAATATGTGTTATCCTTAATCCTTGGGGCTTGTGCAACTTTGTATTGATCTTTATGCTTTTGTCTTTGCTTCAAGATTGTTATGGATTTTAAGCATCCAGATGGTGTCCTAGTGCAAGTTATGTTACCTCGTCGGAGTTTGCTGGTCATGACGGGAGAATCTAGATACCTTTGGACCCATGGGTAGGTACTGACCTGCTCTCAGTGATGGAGTTCCTTCTGCATTGTTGCACTTACTTTTTTTTAGTGTCTGGTTCATGAGCTTTCATATAAAGGCCTGAATCTACTGCTGCTCCTGAGAGCTGAGATCTGGTTCCTGGGTCATACAGTTGCTTGGTAGCTGTCATTGTTGGAAAGACACGATTCTCCAGTGTCAGAAAATGAATAGACGCATGAGGTAAAGGAGACCTTGACAAGGCAATTTATTTCTGCACAGCAGATGCCTTGCCATTCTCCCCAGGGTTACACAGACACATGAGTGGGGCAGTCTGCTGAGTGTTTATCCCAACCTGAGCTGTCCCTTCTCCTTGTCAAGGAGTCAGGCTGACATTCTTTTCACAGATGGTTACCAGGGTGATGGGGTAATACAAAAAAGTTAGAGAGCACTCCAGCTGGCATCGAAAAGGGTCCCACTTGATGTGGCTGGCTGGTTACAAACACCACAGTCGACAGTTAATAGTTTGAAGTCAAGAAGCAAATAATTCCAGGAAAAATCACTCCAGAATGGTACCTTGTTACAAGATGGAGACATTTTGGTTTGACAGAAAAGATGTTTTTTTCCTCCTATCATTGAGACTGAATCGTGTGTCATTCTTTAGGGGAGGCCTTCTTGTCCAGGTCTCCAGTTTCCCCATTTTCTATTACTCCTTGAATCCAGTGTGAGTATTAGTGTCATTTATTACCCACCACCCTGATTGATTATGTTTTCCTTGTATCTGCCTGCAGCAAATGTGTGTGGTTGGGTGTGTGGGAGCTGGGCGATTAATGATGGCTGTGGAAGGGCAGTCACTTACAGTAACCATATTGTGTTTCTAGAGAAATGTTAACGGGCTCACTGTCAGTTATCCCATTAGTTTGATGTATCCTTTTGTTTGCTTGCCTCCGTGGTGGGTCAGAGTCTCTGGTCAGTCATTATGTCATTTCCTGCCCCCAAATGGCGATGGTCATGACGGTCAAACTTGTCAAAATGACAAAGGTCAGGTTTCTCATAATCACTGAGCTTGCCCTATTGTTTTTTTTTTAATCTTAAAATAGAATTAAGGGAAAATCAAATGTTTCTTGAACTTGTGTCTCTATTAAAACTAGGCAATCGAAGCTACGTTGAATGAGAATATGTTTTTCAAGAAAAATGAAAGAAAACACTGCTTTTCTGAAACAAAGCGTATTACTATGTATTTGGCAATACTTAGAAGGAACTGGTTGGCAGTGGCTCATATCTGTGTAATCCTAGCTACTTAGGAGGCTGAGATCTGGAGGATCAAGGTAATATAGCCAGCTCAGGCAGAAAAGTCTTTTAGACTCCAGCCTCAGAAAAAAGTGGGCTGGAGGCATGGTTCAAGTAGTGGAATATCAGGCAAGTAAGCCAACCAGCCAATGGAGCCAATACAAGGCCCTGAGTTCAAATCCCTGAATCAGAAAAAAAAATCCAATCCTGCAACAGGGAAAAAAGTAAACGCATTATGACTAAGTTGAGTTTATCTCAGTGTTAAGGTTAGTTTGGCACTTTAAAATCAATCAGCATAGTTCATCATATGAAAAGAATAAAGGATAATCTTCTGTATTTGGCAAGATCTCAGTAAACCCTGAAAAGAAATAAACTTCTTCAGTTTGACAAAGCAAGTTATTGTGATGGTTTATCTTGTCATCTTGACTGGATTGAGACACACCTAGGAGATGGGTGAAGTATACTTCTGAGTATGACTGTGAGAGTATTTCCAGCGAGGGTTCAGTGGGGAAAGGGTCCTGATAGAATGAAAGGGGAAAAGGAGAAAAGCCCTCTAGCACAGCATCTCTGTTTCCTGATCTACCCTACCACACCCTCCCCATCTCGGGGGACTGACTGAACACTGTGAAATAGTAGATCAGAATAAGCCCTTCCTCCCTCATGTTCCTCTCAGGCATTTTGTCACAATAGTGAAAAGTAAGAGAAGACCAAAGTAAACAGATACCGATGCTGTAATCACAGATAGGAAACTTATGTCCCTAAACCAATGTATGACTCCATGTAATTCCAACAGAAATCATGAGAGGATTTTGTTTTGTTTTTTCATAATAATTAGCAAATTGATTCTAAAATTTATAAGGAATAGTCAAAACAATATTGGAAGAGAAGGACAACATTGAGAGACTTTACTATATAGGTACATAATCCAAAGAACATAATCTCAATATTAAGATGGACATACATTAGCAGTGGGGTGGAATAAGGTGCAGAAGCACACCCATCCACACATGTAAGTCAGCTGATTTTTGACAGAGACACCAGTGTAATTAGATGTGGAATGAAAATTTTTTGATGGATAGGCACTGGATATCCATTGGAAGTAAACTTTGATCTACCTCAGTTCCCAAAATAAATTTGAGGTAGATTGTGTAAAATTAAAATTTTAAAACATAAAGAAAAATGTCTGACAATTCAGGAAATCCAGTAGATATTTGCAATAAGTTCTTGGAAATTTGCTCTGTTCCCTCAATATTTGTAAAGACCTGAAGTATCTTTCTTTCGTCTTACAATATTAAGCAAGTTATTTTGCCTGTTGTTTTTAGAATCACACCCAGAAAATTTGACACTGTTCATGCATCTGAGCATTACAGAAGTGGAATTATTACCAGTGATATTGGAAACTTAACTCTAAGCAAGAGAGGAGTACGGACTTCATTTACATTTAGGAAAGTGAGGCGCACACCTTGTAACTGTAGTAAGTATATAATTCTACCTCTAGGGTAAAGTGGAGTAAGTCTAGTATGAAAAATCCGTTAAGGTATCATTAATACCTAAGAAAAACTCCTAACTTGTCTCCTATCATTTCTTGTAGTCTATACTTTCTGAATCACCCCCATTATAATTCTGATTCTTTGGAAGCAGGGGCTGCTTTCCCAAGCTCAGTTCTTCTGCATAGTTGAGTGCTAAGAAAATATTTTCTTTACTTGAATAACAGTTGACAGTGCTAGAATTATAGGTCAGTAAAATATGACTTGTAAAAACAGGCCTTGAGGGTTTCTAAATCACCTTTTAGTAACGCAGCAGGGAAGCGGGAGTTGACAGATTGCTCCATAGCAGGTGACTGTAGGGGGGGAACAGGGTTTGGTGGGTTAGTCAGTTTGTAAGGGACTAAAAGGAACCACAAAACTATGTGTCAAGAAAATGTTACTCTGAGCTGTTGATGTAAGCACATCATGCTTGTATTTCTTGGAGTTGAGAAAAATGTTTCATTTTCTTTCCTTCCCTCTCTCCCATCCTCCCTCCCTCCCTCTTTCCTATTCCCCCCCCCCCCCACTTGCCTTTCTGCCTTTCTTTGGCTGGACTCGGTCTGGGCCCTGTCTATAAGTTTTTATGCTCAAGGCTAGCACTCTACCTTTTGAGCCATAGCACTACTTCTGGCTATTTTTGGTAGCTAATTGGAGATAAGTCTTACGGTCTTTCCTGCCTGGTCTGGCTTTGAACTGTGATCCTTGATCTTAGCCTCCTGAGTAGTTAGGATTACAGGCGTGAGCCACTAGCGCCTAGAAAATGTTTCAATAATCATAAAATGACAGTAATTGTAAAATCCCTTTTGTATCTTGAGAGTTTCAGTTGTAATAGCATCTATTAGTAGTTTTTGGACTTAGTTGTAATCTTAATAACATTTTGAATTAAAATTCTGTATTATATATAAGGTGTCATCCGGTTAGCAAAACATGAAATCAGCCAGGCACAGGTAGTTCATGCCTGTAATTCTGGCTACTTAGGAGGTTGAGATCTAAGAATTGCAGTTGGAACCCATCCTGGGCAGAAAAGTCTCCAAGAGACTCTTTTTTTCTTTCCCCCCCCAAGAGACTCTTATCTCCAATTAACCACTCAAAAACCCTAAGTGGAGCTGTGGTTTAAAGTGGTATTACACTAGCCTTGAGCAAAAAGAGCTCAGGAATAGTACTCAGGCCTAGAGTTTAAGCCCCATAAGTAACAAAAACAAATGTGAAATTTATGTATTTGGTATCTTGATAGCAGTGAAGCTTAAAGTAGTCTTTTGCTTATTTTGTTGAAAGTGTCTTTAAGAACACTGAATGTAGCCAGGCCCTGGTGGCTCACACCTGTAATCCTAACTACTCAGAAGGCTGAGAGGTGAAGATAGCAGTTCAAAGGCCAGCCTAGGCAGGAAAGTCTGTGAGACTCTTATCTCCAATTAACCACCAGAAAGCCAGAAGTGGTGCTGTGGCTCAAGTGTTAGAGTACTAGCCTTGAGCTGAAGAGCTGAGGGATAGCACCTAGAGTTCAAGCCCCATGACCAACCAAAAAAAAGAAAGTACACGAAATGTGTTTGTGTGTGTGGTACTGGAGTTTGAACTGAGTGTCTCACACTTGCTAGGCAGACATGGTACTCTACTACTTCAGTCCTTTTCAAAAGGTCATTTTTTTTTAAGTTGAAAGAGGTTGTTTAGAATTTGATGAAATCTAACATTGCCACCCATAGCTTTATAAGGTATGGAAAAATAAAGATAACTTCCATCCTCAGGATACTTGAGGTATAGTAAGAAAGATGAGCTAATTTTCTTACATAAATGTTTCTATGTTATGGGCATTTATTAAATGTATGGGAAGCTCTAAAAACCTCTCACTTGGTCTTCAGTTTGCAAATATTCATTAACTTTTGAAAACATTATATATATTTGTTCTGTATGTCTGTACTTTGGAATATGAGCATGTTACGGAATGGGTAAATTAGGCTAATTAGTATATGCAGTATGTCACATATTTAAATATATTTTTCATGGTGAGAGCTCTTAAAAGCCATTCTTTTAGCAGTTGGCTGAATTGTTTACTATGCTTGGTGTTTCTTGTCGGGCTCTATGGAAGGGAATGACCCACTGCAGAGTCTGTGCTGCCAAGTTCAAGTTGTATCTGTGTGATTGACTGTGTTGCTTTAGAAATGATATTACACTACTTTGTGCTGCCATTTTCTTGTCTGTGAAATAAATGTATTAATACCCACTTCCTAATACTAATGTAAGAATTGAGACAACACTTTTAAACTGGTTCAAATACCATTCAGTAAACACTGATTATTATGGAGTAAGATGTTGTTTCCATTTTTTTTTTTTTGCCTCTAACTCCTTTACTTGCCGAGGGGCCGGGGGGAATCTCTAAATCCCAATTTAGCTAGATTTCTATTAGTAATGTTAGAGCTATAAAAGTTGCTTTCCTGAAAAATAGAACTCTTATTCCAAGATGTTCTAAGATTGATGCAGAATTGTCTTTTTGTTTGGTTACAAATGGATTTTCCTCTTCTTTTTATGTTAGACTCACAAGAGAACGTTAGACCTTCTTAGGAAAGAGCTTTTCTTGTTTGCAGTTGAGGCAGGGTAGCCTGTCTCACTAGGTAGCCTAAGCTAGCCTGGAACTTTCTATGTTGCCCAGGCAGGCCCTGAAATTGTGATTTTCCTGTCGCAGCCTTCTAAGTCCTTGGGATTACATGTGTTTGCCACTATACTACTCATCAAGAACTAAGTGTTTTTGCTTTGTTTTCAACTGATAAATCAGAGCCTATCTAATTTTGAGTTACCAAATTTGCATTCATTTTTTTGAGGAAAACTTATACCTTTTAAATCATTTTGGGTAAAAATGCAAGGTTTATTTTATTTTTTTTTCTTTAGATTATTCTCTGGTCTGTGACAGCCAGAGAAAAGAGAAGCCTCCGTCATTTCCAGAGAGTGATAAAGAAGCATCCCGGCTGGAGCAGGAGTACGTCCACCGTGTGTATGAAGAGATTGCTGGGCACTTCAGCAGCACGAGGCACACTCCTTGGCCGTGCATCGTGGAGTTTTTGAAGGCTTTGCCAAGTGGTTCGGTAGTGGCTGATATTGGATGTGGGAATGGGAAGTATCTTGGCATCAATAAGGAGTTATACATGGCAAGTAGTGCTGCATCTGCCTTCTGTTTTTAGAGTCGTTATCATAACCTTTCTTTCGGTGATGTGTGTTCCTTTCTAGGCTGTCATAGAAAATGTATAACAAACAAGTTGAAAATTAGGGACACTCCAATTCTCTTTTATTCTCTTAGACATGTATGGGTATTCCATCATTTGTAGTTTTTTTTTTCCCACCTTGGTTTAGATTTCATTTTCTAACACAAAACTTATGAATAAGAAATAGGCTACTGAGGTTGTCTTACTTCCTGACAATCCTGATAACCTTATAACCTTGTTCCTCTGGCGGGCTTCTTGTAGGTTTTTTTTGTTTTTGTTTTTTGTTTTTTGATTGCTGGGGCTTGAACTCAAGGCCTGGGCACTGTCCCTGAGCTTCTTTTGCTCAAGGCTATCATTCTACCACTTGAGTCACAGTGCCACTTCCTGCTTTTTCTGTTTATGTGGTACTGAGGAATCGAACCCAGGGATTCACGCATGCTAAACAAGCACTCTACCACTAAGCCATATTCCCAGCCCTGGTTTGTTGTAAAGGTTCCTAATTGCTTACACAATTTGTATTCAGCATTTCTTCTTGATAAGGTTAGCATTGAAGAAGGAAAGACTCAGTAGCATTAAGAATAGAAATAAGCTATTTTACTTTCTTTCTTGTTTGGTACAACAAAAGAATTTGTTGGAAAGAAAAAGAATTTGTTGGGAAAACAAAGAAATTATAGTGATTATAGTGGCTGTAAATGTAATACATGTTCAAAGTATAAGGAAGAAGGAAGGGAACTCACCCACCTGGTCTGGGGTCTTACAACATGGTATATATAGTATGGAGGATATTCTCATAACCTGGTCTGGGGCTTCACAACATAGTATATATAGTATGGAAGATATTCTCGTAACCTCCTCCCACCATATTTGTAGCTCCCTCAGGTAGACTAACTGTCTGTGTATATGGGATAAATTTGATTTTTAGATGTGTCATATGGCAGAAAGATCTGGCTGGAAATAGTGATGAGTTGAAGCAAATGGGTCTTCCCTTTTTGATTACAGTCTTTCTTTTTTCTAGTTATCTTATTTCCATTCGCTAATTTGACTTCTGTTTGATATGTTAAGGTCATAAATGCTGCTTTGAACAATTTCATATTCTGACAATGTATTAGTGATGAGCCAGTTTATAATGAACAGGAAACCTGTGTAATGACGTTAGGTAGCATAAACCCAGATATGCAGTCTTTCTGATGACTGTAAGGTAAAAAATAAAACTGGAGTTCTCAATTTCTTGTGCTACTTGGACATAGTATAGTGAAATGCTTTCCTTTCTGTGTTATAGATTGGTTGTGATCGTAGTGAAAACCTCGTAGCCATCTGTAGAGAGAGGCAGTTTCAGGCCTTTGTTGGCGATGCGCTAGCGGTTCCGGTGCGCAGTGGGTCCTGTGATGCTTGCATCTCTATTGCTGTCATCCACCACTTGGCAACCGCAGTGAGTGTTAATTGTCTCTCTTCGAGAACTTGTAACTAAACTGTCAAAAGAAGTTCATGGGTTTTACCTACTTGGAACCTGTCTAAACTTTCATTTGTTTCCATTTGTTTTCTCCCTCTAGGCTTTTCTAGAATGTCTTCGTGCCAGGATGGCGTGGCACTTATGGTCCTCCTGTTTGTGCTTCCTGAGGGATGGGATTATTGGCATACACTACCATGTCCTGCTTCCATTTCTTTTTCTGCATTGTTTGGCTGCTTAAATATCTGCTTTGCCATTTAATGCCCCAGCTACTCCTCCACTGAGTTTCTGAGAATCTCCTCCCTGCAGTTCCTCCTTTATCTGTGATTCCTCTTCTCAGTTCTCCACTGCTCTAACCTCGCTGTACTCTGAGCCTTGTCTCCTCAGGCCAGTGAGACTTCTGTTTTCTGCTCCCATTCTATTTTCCCTACACTGGATTAACAGATTCTTATTGGGATTATAGTTTTTGATTGAGTCTGCCGGATTTCACTTCTGCCTTTAAGCAACTGTTTTATATAGTTTGAGTATCCTTAACTCGAAAATTAAAAATGTTTCAAAACGTGGAACTATTTTACACATCATTGTGATGTCACTCAACACCTGACCTCTTCTGATGAGTAGCCATCAAAACATAGGCACACTAAATATATCATGCATATATGTTTATACTCATGGAAGGTGTACATCAAACATAAATGAAATTTGTGTTTAGACTTGGTCCCCATTTCCATATTCATTACATATATGAAAATAGCCCAGAATCCAAAAATCTGAAACACTCTGGTCTCGAGGATTTGGCCTGAGGGACACTCAGACTGTGCTTCATCTAGCTGTTGTGGCTCCTTTTAGCAGGAGAATCCATACAAGTTACTTCAGGGATGGACGTAGAAGTGGTTTGCACATTGCTTTTATAAAAAGGCGTCACATAAATGCAATGCTTCACCTAAATGCACGACATCCTACTGATCACCACTCTATAAGGACCTAATAGTTAGTTGTCTCATGTATTCTAGCCAGCCAGTTATGGAAAATTACAGGGAAGATGGATAGAAATAAAATTCTCCTTTTTCCCTTTCTTCAGCACTTTTTTTTCCCCTTAAAGATTAAAATGTCCTTAAAAAAATTCTTTACTGTTTCCTATAAAACATTTTGTCAGTCCAACAGTTTATTATGTCTTAACATTTTCTTTCTGTATATCCTCCTAGTTGATAAATGGCAATATGCTGGTTTTTCTTTTTAGGAGCGTAGAGTGGCAGCTATCCAAGAACTTGTTCGACTGTTGAGGCCTGGTGGGACAGCACTCATTTATGTCTGGGCAATGGAACAAGAATATAACAATCAGAAGTCCAAGTATCTTAGAGGAAACAGAATTAGCCGAGGAGCTCAAGAGGAGCTAACGAGTGCTACATCTGCAGAAGGATTGCTTGTGGAGCAAATGCGTGGTGAGGCCTGTCAAGACTCGGCATCTTCTGTCCCCTCCGTGAACCATGTTCAGGAGGGAGGAATCAGTTCAGAACTGCCTATTCATACTAATAGGACTTCTTTTCAATCTCAAGATGTACTGGTTCCCTGGCATCTCAAAAGGAACACTGGTAAAGACAAGGCCTCTGTGTCATTTGGTTCCACAGAACCCCAGAACCCAGGCCCCATCTGTCACCGGTACTACCACGTGTTTTGTGGCGGGGAGCTGGAAGCTGCCTGCCAGACACTGGGAAACGTTAGCATTCTGAAAAGCTACTATGATCAGGGAAACTGGTGTGTCATTCTTCAAAAGAGCTGACTCTTTACTGAAAATGTCATATGGGGAAAAAATATACCTAGATATATTTTTTTAAAAGGGGGACTGAATTGATTGTTCTCTTATTTAAAGAAAATGCTTGTGGAAATGTACCAAAGGAGAGCTTCTCAGAGAAATTTTTAAGTAGATATTAGTTAAGAAACCTTCAGTTTGATACCAGGACTTCATAATTGTCAGCTCTTCCTACACAGCTAATAAGAGTAGTGTTTCCGTGTACCTGAAATGATCCAGATAGGGATGGGATGCTTGCATGGGAGGGAGAGTACAGCATTCTGAAGGTAACTGCGTGCTTTAAAACATTATTCCAGGGCCTAAACAGTGTATGACTGAGTGCTATATTACAGAAAATGTTTTCATCAATAGGAACTATCACCACACCTTACTAGGATAGAACTTACCCACATAGTCATGGATGTTCAGTACAATTTCCCTTAATTGCTTGAGCAAATGAACATCTGCCCTATTAATTAGTATGTGGGTAAATGAACTACTGAAATACACTTCTAACTCATTTTTCTTTGGGCTAAAATGCTCTAAATAAGCATTTTATACTTGAATAGTTGAAATTATTTAATTGCTGAGATTTTTAGTAACTGAATATCAGGTTTTGGATTCTTTTTTTTTGTCCAAGACCAGGACTTGAACTTGGTACCTGATGCTGTTGCTCATTGGCTGGCACTGTACCAACTGGGCCACACTTCCAATCCAGGTTTTAGATTCTTGATCTGCACTCAAATACAAAGCTTAGTTGTTTTTTCTTTTATTTTTGTGCCAGTTGTGGGGCTCAAACTTATGATCTGAGAGCTTTCCCTGAGCTTTTTTGCTGAAGGCTAGTATTCTGCAACTTGAGTTTCAGCTCCATGTCCAGCTTTTTTTAATTAGAGATAAGTCTCACAGACTTTTCTGCCCAGGCAGAACAATGAATTTTATATATAAACTAAAGATTTCTCTCCTTTACTCTATCAATGACTCTAGTTCTTAGCTTTGAAATTAAAAATCCTATAAATAACAATTTCTTATCCCTTTATTATTGCTATTAGAACTGTAGTTGTTGGCTTCAATGGGAAGAGGAAGAGGAAGAATATGGGATTTGATATGGAGATATGGTTTAGTGGTAGAGTGTTTGCCTAGAGTATATGAAGCCCCAAGTTTAGTCCCCATCATGGAGGGAAAAATGCATACATACATAGTGCGCACACACACACACATATACATATATGCATACATACACACACATATACACATGTAAATGCGATTTGAAATAAAATAGTTGAGTAGGAAAAACAAAACATGTAGCTGGGTGCTGGTGGCTCACGCCTATAATCCTAGCTACTCAGGAGGCTGAGATCTGAGGATCGCGGTTCAAAGCCAGCCCGGGCAGGAAAGTTTGTGAAACTCTTATCTCCAATAAAACACTTAGAAAACCGGAAGTGGCGCTGTAGCTCAAGTGCTAGAGGGCTGGCCTTGGCTGAAGAGCTGAGGGACAGTGCCCAGGCCCAGAGTTCAAGCCCCATAACCGACAAAAAAAAAAAAAACAAAAAAAAACATGTGCCCTACATTATAATTCTGTTTAAATCAGACACAAAGGCTTGACCAATATAGTGTTCTAATTTCTATGTAATGCTACTGGTGAGTGATTATGGAATAAAAGCTTTGTGTGCCTTGTAACAAAGCAACCTTCTTTATACATCTTAATTGTGAAATAAAATGGGCCCACTTAGTCTTGGAGGAGAACACAAAGTTCATATGTTGCAAACCCAGGATACTGTCAACATAATTGACCGTATATGAAAAAGAAACCTTGTGACAGATGGCAGTTTCTATCATAGGTGACACTAAAACAATATCTTCTTCAGGTTTTCAGGGCAGTCGCATTTTATTTAAAACGCTTAAACCTTTTCCTGTGAAAGCAGGTGGTCCTTTTTGACGCTGGGCAGAGATTTTTGTCCAGGTGGCCTGAGAACATTGCCCTGAACAAAATGTCAGCCATGAGTTTCTGTTGAGAAAAATGGATTTGAAAACTCTCAGCCAAATGAGTTCTTTGAAAGCTCATATGAAATGAGAAATGTGACACATGGCCTTGATGCTTCCCAGAGGAGAACTATCAAGAGCGCACACCTGTCCCCTCTGAGTATGAAGAGGCGTATGTATATACACCGATCACTGAGTAGACATCTGGTCAACCCCCTGCCAGCTGGCGTGGAAGTCCACAGGTGGGATCTAAAGAACAGCTTTCAGAGTAATAGGAGGGGTGAACGGATCAAAGCTCTTTATATGCATATGGTCATAACCAACAAAACACCTCTGTGCAATTACTGTGTACAACACCCCCCAAAAAACAACTGCCACAATCACACAGAATGTGTACGCGGATGCAGAACTGCCATCACCATTGGCCAAAGTCATGTTTTCCCTTCTATTCTTAATGTTGAGTTACTTTTTCACTTGGGTAAAATGGCCCTTTGGACGTTTTCCTACAGTTTCCATATGGTGTGTAATCACCCAAAGTGGTATCTCTCAGAATGTGGCCCCTTAACGCCTGCGTGATGACCTGGCAGCCTTCAGGTCCACATTTCTAGGCTTGTTCAGCTAGAATCTGAGGGCAGGAATAAGGGACTTTGTCTTGTTTCCGTTTTAAATATTGCCAAAAAACATGAGTCTGGTTATCAGGAAACACAGGCTTGGAATGCACCTTTGGAACTGTGAGCTGGGGAAAGAACTAAAGTACATCAGAATGTATACACTCACAGAATCAGTTTCCTCATCTGCTACTTGAAATAAAGCCTCCATTGAACAGTAACTAAAAAAAGAAAAACATTGAAGGGTTGAAGACAAAACACAAGAATTAGGAAAGACATTGAGAAGACATGAAGAAAATACAAATGGAATTTAGAAGACTATTGGAGGGCTGGGAAGGTAGCTCAGTGGTAGAGC